GTGTGCCCGCGCCCGGCGGGCTCAACTAGAGAACCCAAGGCTCTCTCGCGCTTGACGCAATGGCCATTGCGCCCAGCGCTGGCCAGGCAGAGACTCAAAGAGAGTCACGCGCCCAGCGTGCACAACCCTGCACCCAGCGCGGGGAAGGCAGAGACTTCCCTTGGTCTCGCGCCCAGCGCAATTCAAATTGCGCCCAGCGCTCATGAGGCAGAGACTCCCAAGGAGCCTCACGCCCAGCGCGACAAGGGACGCGCTCAGCGCCCAAAAGAAGAACCAAAACCTGCCACAACTGGTATCGCGCCCAACGCGGGCCAAGTCACGCCCAACGCGGGCCAGCCAGAGACCCACAATCTCAAGCGCACTCATCATGGCGCTCAGCGGGCTTGACCAAATAGGTCCCTTGATGGCCGCGCGCCCAGGCGCGAAGAACCCCGCTCAGCGCGAAGCTCAGCAGCAGCCAACCATTTTCGAACAAATTCATCAAAGACCTGCGAAAAGACCAGAAACTTCACATGCAATCGGTTCAAAACACTACTCTTTCATCCAAGAGTCCAAAAGTACTACCTTTTTCAACATGCAACAACAATCAAGACTGTTTCCCAAAATTTCTCAACAATCCCCGTAACCCCAAAAACAATAAGTTTCCTTAATCCAGCCACGAATCAGCCATCGACAAGCATCTAACGAGTTCCTAGAATTTGTCCACAACCAGAAATAGCGAAAAAGAACAAAATACTAACTTCCCTTACCTCACTCAAGGAAATCGAGCTTCGGGAAGAAATGGAGAAGAAGAGAGTTGAAAAAGGAGATGAGGAAAAAGGCTCCGCACGATTTCGACCAGAATCCACCCTTCAATCAGCACCTTAAGTTGAAATGGAGCACCAAATTGGTCACAGGGAAAAGCAAGTGAGAAGTGAGTGAATAGAGGGCTAGCAAAGTGATGAAGAAGAAAAATGAGAATGGGTCCGGGGAGAAGGAGAAGAAAAAAGAAAAAAAAAATAAAAGGGGCCTCACAGATAAACTAATGAGAAGTTCTCTGAACTAGAACAAACCTCTTCCCTTTTCTTCTCTGGCTTAGAAACCCTTTTATTCCTTCTTGTAGCTAATAGGAGTTGCTAAGTTGAAAGGTCAAGTCTTGTAGAGTTGAGATTAAGTTTTAAAGTCATATGAAGTAGGTTTTTCTCTTCCTCTTTTAGGTTAGATTCTTTAAAAGGTAAGTGGATCATGTGTTCAAAATTCTTGTTGATTGTGTGATGATTTGAATTTGTTGATTCATAGTCGTGTTGAAATGAAGTTATGAATTAAAGAGTGGTGAAAGTTGAGGTTGGGGAAATATTGTTCATGAAGTATAGTTGATGATTATTGCATATTGTTGGTTGCATATGTTCTTTTGAGTTGCTTTCGAGTTGTACATGTTATATATGCATGGAATACATTGTTGCATGTTGGAACTTTGTTGGGTTTCAAGTATGTTGGTAAAATTTTGATTTTTGCGATGTGCAAAAACTAATATCACGTTGGGTGTGCCTTTAAGGTGTCAGGTGTGACTCCAAAGAAGGGTTTTTATCGTACTCACGTCGGATGTAGGATCGATGGTGTCGGACATGAGGAGATAGAATTGTCTTAGGTTGGAATCACATTAAACGTAGGTTGAATGATGTCGAGCATGAGGAGAGAGACTTGTCTCTATCTGAGTCTACATCGGGCACTTATGTGTATGGCATTGAGCGTGAGTCAAGTAGAGAGTCTTTGCCAAATTTGGAGTCGGACGTGGATTTTACCATGCTAGGTGCGAGAAAGTGGGAAACTCTCTACCACAACCACGCCAGGCATAGATAGTTTGGTGTTGAGCATAGGCGAGACAAAGAGTCCCTTTACCTCAATGGCATTGGGTGTCTTTATAGTGGCACCAGGCGTGAGTTGCATGATGAGCACAGGTTGTTTAAAGTTGTTTCATAGTTGATTAATGATAAATAAGTTATATGGGTAAATGATGTAAGATAATATATGTGTGTGTGGGCGCGCGCGCACGTGTGTGTGTGTTGATATGTTATAAGTTGAATATGTTGTAAAGTTGTGAGTTATTTTAAGTTGTCTAAGCTAATTGTAGTTCTTGTTCTATTAAAGTATGATGTTTAAGTTGTCAAGTTGCTAGGCATGTGGTTAAGATACATGTCCTATTTAAAGATATATAAAAACTGGAGAAGAGTAAGTGATGACTTTGAAAACTAAATATCACATTGCATAGGTATGAGATGTGGTACTCCGAGAGTCCAAGTACTGAAAAAACTTCAATATGTGAGTTGACTATTGAATGATAAGCTGTATGTTGTCTTCTCTAGGTTTTATGTGGTATTTGTGTGTGAGTAAGGTCAAGACAGACTTGTATAAAGTGACCAATCGAGTAAAGTACTAGATCAAGAACTTAGTCTCTAACCTAGTATTGGAAGTGCATAATATTTGAAAAGTAGTCGGTAGTCTAATCTCATAGGCAACTTATTAATGCAAGCTAACACCATGATAGACTCATACCCAAATTGTTTTACCCTAACAGTAGTATTAGACTTCCTAATTTAAGTTGAGAACCTAAGAAATCAAATTGAGTTATTAGTTGACTTGATTGAGATAAGTCAGATGTTGTGATTCGATAGTGTCTAGCTACTTAAACTGCTTAGTTTATGTTGTAAGAGATCTTCATAGTGGATATGCATGACAACGCATTAAATGTAATTATATGTGTTGTTGTGTTGAGTGTGCTGAAGTAGATTTGTGTTGAGATTGTTGTGATATTGTGAGTTGTTGTATTGTGATGTGATAATGTTGTTTACGAGTTGATTATGTTGTATCATTGAAAGGTGCTTAGTTCTAATTACATGTTGAATTCTTTTCACAAGCATACCCTATATTTTCCTGGTGGTTGGAACTGCAATGATTATACTTGGTATGAGAATAAAACAAGATTAATAAGTTAGTTCACCTTGCTATGGATGACTAGTTCTCTTTTGTTATCACTACTTTGATGCAGTTTGTATGTACATGAACTATTATGTTTTTCTATTCCCTGCATATAAACTATGCACATGATATTAGTTACGAGTTGCATGATAAATCCTAAGTCAGATGTATGTTGTTTAATATTTTTGTTGCATAATAATTGAGTCATAGTAAGTGTAGTGACTTACTGAATCGTTATAAAAGAGGTGAGAGAAGAGGAATGTAAATAAAGATAATAGTTTTTTTAAAATAAAATATATTTTAAAAAATAAATTAAAAGAGGTGTTAAGGAAATTTTTGAATTTTTTTTGAAAAGGGTGGCATATTTACTTAAAAAGGAAGATGTATATAAAAGTGTTTCGTAAGCACCTTTAACACAAGGCCTAATTGTTTTGGAGAAAAAAAAAAGGCCTTTTTTTTTATATATATATATGTGGTAAATGAACTTAGTATTAGGGAGATTATGACTATAATAATTCAAATCCCATTATTATAACTTTTTATTAGTGCCGACAATTTTGTTTCATTTAATGTGTATATATTCAGAGTGTATAATATATA